CTTTTCTCTGCTGCTGCTGCGCAGGAGTCCCTGCGGATGTAGCTCACCTGCCGCTCCAGCAGGAAGGAGGCTAATCCCATAGCTCGGTCAGCGGCCCTCCCCGCCCGCAGGTGAGGCGGCGAGCCCTGCCCGGCCGGGCCCCGGCGGCACAGCATGTCCGGTGAGTACCCCCAGCAGCCAGCACCGCGCCCGGCCGGCCTGCAGCAGCCTCTCGGGGCTGACCGGGGCCATGGGCAGCGCGGCCTGCAGCCCCCACAGGGCTCTTGTCCTTCTGACATGCCGGTGCCCTTCTTACATGCCCTTCTTACATGCCGGAGGGTCTCTGCTGTTTTCTGATCAGCAGAGAGCTGTGCTGTCACGAGCAGCTCCAGAGGAGGATTTTAACTGTCTGGGTGGTGGGGTGAAATAGGTGAACTCATTGACGTACTCTGCTTGTATGTCCAGCTTGGCCTGCTCAGGTCTCTGCATGGTTTCCTGGTGGCTCCCCAGGGTGACGGGCTGGGGATGGCTACCTCAGTCTAAGGCAGATTCAGAGAAACTTTTCTCGTGCCCCTCCTTACACAGCACTGGTATTGGTCTTAATCACTTATCCTTAAAGCCATGAGTTACTTGGTTTTGGGGTAATCACACGGGGTAGGTGCAGGTGCTGTTCTGGTTCTTGAACATACTCAACTTTCTTTCTTCTCGGTTTTGAGAGGACCTCCTCCCACAAGTCTTGGTTTATTGAACCATTTGAAGGGTGTCAGTCATCTGGACTGGTGATTGCCAAGTTTGAATTCATATACGTGGCACTTCAGCACTGGGAAGATGCAGAAAATGAAAGGGAGGTTGAAAGGGAGGTGTGGAAAGAATAAAAACATCTGACTTGATACATATCATAAAGTTCCCTGTGCTGCCTCTGGATTGCCTAAGCAATTATTTCTAATAATTATTACCAATTATTACTAATTTTCAAACCAGTATATTACTGTTTTGGGACTAGTTTTGGGTGCTATGCTTATTTGCATCTTAAGATATTGTTGCATTTGAGTTTTCATGAGGATCATTTACCAACTGTTGAATAACAACATTGTAGAGTCTTGAAACAGAATGTAACAGTTTTTAACTGAAAGGCACATAATAAAAGCTACAAAGAGCTAGAGTCAAGTGCTCATCCAACACAACAGCAGTAATCTTGCCTACTAAAACTGAGTATCATTTTAATGAAAGATGAGAAAGAACCTGGTTTTGGATGAGGCAGAACTTTATTAGGCCAAGAGAAAATACTGTATGCCATTCATTGTCAATTTAAATTCTGTTATAAAAAGGTTTGTGTAAAGTGTTATTTAACTTCATTAGTAACATCAATGTTTCTACTATTGGACCTAAGAAAGCATAGGAATTAAAACTGCCGGCTGTCATTTGTTTACTTAGGCAAGAAATGCCCTCTTAGCTGGAAACTTGCATAATAATTTTTGATAGGAATCTGACTCAGGTTATTGTCTGACATTATTGTTAATTTTATATACTTATAACAAAATACTTCTTGAGTGCTTATGAAGTTGTGTGTGTCAGGAGGAGCAGAGCTTACTGTTCCAGGATATGGCTGTGCTAGACCAGAGAAGTGAGAAGCCTGCAGGTTGTGTTCTCTTTTTGGGAGTCTAACACACCTTCATGGGGTGCTGCTGGAGGAAGATCCATAGAGCCCTTCGTGTGGGAGACAGGGTAATAGAATTGCTGTCAGGAAACCTGCTGTGATTTGGAGCTGTGTCACTGTCACTTGGGATTTCAGAGAGGTGCTTTGGCTCAGTGCTGTCCAGGCTGCAGTCTGCTCGTCCTGCAGATTGTCTCTGGAGTAGAAGCAGGGAGGTGACAAAAGAGTAACAGATAGTATCAGGGAGGAATTTAAGAAAGCAGTTGTATAATGTTGATTAGTATCAATGGCAGAAGGCACTGGTGATTTAACCAGACTGTTGGAGGCTTTTAGCTATTGATTTATCTGTTCTTATTTTTATGCATAAGATGACACAATGTGCTGCTTAGAATGTTCTTACAGAAAAATCGTAACAGGACTGTCTGATATGTTGCCATTTAGCAGTGGGCAGCCTGGCAAATTTGAATTGTTACATTAGGAGCTACAGCTGCATTACATTTATCCTTCCTCTGTCTATCAGAAGAAATATAAAAATATGATTTAAAAGCTATATCTAATGGATTATGAAAAAAACCCTCCCTAACCTACTTAAACTTGTCTTGAAGTTGGAAGGTGCACTTGGGTCACTCAGAGCTTGTTATTGTCAGTCACTCCTGATTCTAAAAATGGGTACCTGGTGTTTTTTAATTCTCTCTTTTTCTTTGAACATGAAAGTGAGCACCACCCTGTCTGTTTGCTCTGTTCATATTCTAAATAAAGCTTTTAGGTGCCCTAGAATTAGTTTTCACGCCTGTCGAAGAATTTTGCTTCTGGCAGTGTCAGAAGTACTACTTCTATGAGTAAGTAGCATAAAAAGTTGGTGATCTTGGCTAAAAAAGCTGTAACAAGTTCCACATAAGATCACCCTGACTGTGGTGGTTCACATTACTTTTGCTGCCTTTTCTGTGTAGCTGCAGAGCAGGTTCTAGAATAAATCAACAAGTTAATTCCTTGAAGATCCTTGTTTTGTTCTAAGAAAATATTGTTAGGTAATAAAACTGAGGAGCCACTACTGGTGTTAATGATTTCTTTACTTGCTTCATCATGTACTTTGTGGTAATCCAGACAAGAGAAATGTGCAGATTTGTAAATTCATATGACAGGGTTTTAATGGGATTCTAATCATACACTTTCTTTTCTCATAGTTCACTGATAGCCAGTGGTATTCTATTAGCCATAAGTGTCCACAGCTTGAAAACAATTTGCTTGAAAATTTAATTCCCTTAACGATAGGTGTTGTCCATAAATATATATATATTGTCATTCAGTGCAAAGAATTAAAGTTATGCTTAATTGTCTCCTTGACACATAAAAAACAAACTTAAAGATGATTTGCTCTTTTAAAGTCAATAAGTGAAATTCTGTGTAGAGTAGATTTAATGTGCTGTCCTTGATTTCGGCTAAATGGAAACTTTCAGGTAAACCATTTACTTCCAGAAATGTATATAAAAACCTGATCCTTACTTTCAGATATAAAAATAAAATTTTTACTTATAGGCTATATTTAAAAAAATTTATAAACAAGACAAGTCAAATAACACTCCTTTCTTGAAAGGAAGGATTCAATGGAAGAAAAAGTAATGATAAAATATTTTTATTTTAAATTCTCTATGGATCCTTAATAAATTAGTGATGCCCTTGTTTGATTTTAAAATCACAAGGATTTGCTTCTCTCTTTGTGCCAGAAATATTTTAACATTAAATATTTTTAGTCAATAGTTTGATTATCTATTTAATTATCTCTATGATGATTCACTGTATTAAGAAAGCCATAACACGTATCCCACATCTGATTCTCAAAACTGACACTTAGTTTCTGTTCTTTGTGAGGTATCAGCAAGAGTTTCTTAGAAGCAGCAGCTTTTTACCAGTTTGCTTCCTTGTGGTTATGACCACAGGGGTGCAGGGCATGAAAGCATTTGGAGGATGTGGTAATTTTCCATACCAGCTTGCTGAAGCATTTAATGAGTAGTTTGTGTACTTTTCTATGTATTACTTAAGTAAAGATTCAGCTTCTGTAGCCAAAAGAATTTGCAAAAGTCATGTGAATATTGTGTTCAGTATTTTAAGATAGGAACTCCCACTCTTTTCATGATTTGTTTTTTATATTAACCAAACTCCGATATTCCTTCCAGTAGTTCTTTTATTACCTTTCTTTGGCTGAAGATGTTTGTTGCCTAACATAAAACTGCTTTGCTTTCCTGACTTTTTGTGTCTTTTTAGAGTAATTTTATTGCTGAAGTAGCCGTCAGTGGTTTTCTGGTTTACATTAATTTTTAGGGATGCTTATATTTATTCCTTTAACCTTCTGGAAAACTGCAGTAGCAGCAGTTTACTTCACATCTGTTGTTTCAATGCAACTCCTTATTCACTGATTTTTGGAATACCTGAAACTTGCTTGAGCTGTTATTATAATGGGAGATTTGAAAGTTCAATTCTTCATTTGCTTTGTCTGGAAATGTTACTGGAGTTTGCTCAGCTGTGGGCAATGCAAACTATTTTAAGTTTGGGTGGATGATTTGGGTTTTTTTTTTTGCCAAATTTGACACTTACTGGGATTCTCCTGAGGTGCAGGGATGTGTGGCAGTGTCAGCAAATGTAAGGTATATGTTCTTGAGATGAAGCTGGCTGGCTGAACATGAGTGAAAGAGGGCAAAAAGTAGGGGGGAAAAGGCAGCACACCGGTGGGTCTGTGTTTTGGTCTGGATTTGGAGGATGTGAAAGATAAAAATACTTAATATTTGTTAGCTTATCATGGGCATCAGCCATACTTTACGGTACGGTTGAGGGTTAGAACTCATTCATCTTGGCAGCCTCTGGCTGAGGCGGCCATGAAGTCTTTGTTGAGTTCTCTGCAACTAGTTCTGTGAGATTCTTTCCTAGTGTTTCTCACAGACCCTGGAAACTGTATGACAGGTTGTTTATGTTGGTATTGTTTGGTTGTTTTAATTTATTTAATGCAATTGCCTGTCCATTAAGATGATGGTTGCTCTGAAGAAGTATTTCAACACAAGTGTTTATTGAAGTTCTGTAGAGGTCAGTGGAATTCCCTTCATCTGTGCGACCTGCTCGTCTTGCTTTGGTTAATTTTGCAGACTAGAGTGTATCACCCTTCTGCTCTGAGGGGGCTGTTCACCTTGCTGAGTTACAGGTCCTCCCCAGGGGAGCTCTGATAGTGGTGGTCCTGTCACAGGGCAGAGCTGAAGAAGCAGCCCTTTGTGACCATGCCCTGGAGTCTCTACAAAATACATTTTCTCCTGTTGTGCAGGAATATAGGTTGCTTTGTTTTCTATTGTGACTTGTTTTCTCATGTGTTTCCTGACAATAAGGAACGCTCCTAAATTCCCTGGAATTACTTGAGGTAGGAATTCTCAGCTTCTGGGAGATGTACTGATCTTGATAGGGATTTCTCTGCACTTGTTCAGCCAGCACCAGGTACCCCAGTACAAAGAAGGCAGAGCAAAAATAACGTTGGGTTGATTCAGTGGTGTTATGGAAAGAATATTTCTGACTAATACTCAACATCTTGTTCCTTAGCTTTCTGCACTGTATAAACAAGAACATTTTCCTTATTGGCTGTATTATACTATGTTCATTAAATATAAAATTTAAATATGTACAGATCAGCTTTTTTGATTGACATCGTGTTTAGGCAATAAGACCTGAAAAAGCAAATATCTGTTTAAGGCTAGTGCAAAAACTTTATACCTGTCATTGTGTAAATCAGGCAAATAAAAATAATAAAAAATCAGAAACACACATTCTGTGCTCACATTCACTGGATTTTCTATTCAATTGTGGCTTCTGGGGGGAGTCAGTGAGAGAAAAGAACTCATCACAGGAACTGCAGGTTGGTATACGCCACAGATTGTTGTTTATCTGGAAGAGGAGGGAGCCTGCTAAAAGAGTTATGTTAAAGCTGTGAAGTGATTCTTCTGAATATTTTTTTGCAGTAACAGATCAAGCCTTTGTGACCCTTGCAACTGATGATGTGTACTGTCAAGGTGCTCTCGTTCTCGGACAGTCATTGAGGAACCATAAGACATCCAGAAAATTGGCAGTTCTAATTACTCCAGAGGTTTCCATTGGGATGAGGTAAGTATTAATGTGTATCTGGAGGTTTAAATGGAAATTCTTTAGTGTAAAAATAAACAACAGCATGAAAGATTTTAATAGGTTTCTGTGAATTTCACAGCATGATGCCTAGAACATCTCTCTTCGCTAGTGATTTCAAATAACATCTGTTATAAGCTCCTAAGCCCACTAAGAATTAGCTTGCAGAAGTAGAGCTTGTGGCTGGAATTTTTCTTATAATAGAGAACTTAACCTGAAAATTTGGAACTAAGGTTTTAGTGCCTTGCACTACTGTTGTTTTTTCCCCACCTTTTTCTCTCTTAGAGCAAAATACATAACCACCTGTGATGTCAGAACTCTCCATAAACTTCTGTTTCATGTGACTCACATTCTTAAAATATTGGTGCGCAGCTATCATGATAAGAAATTGGTTTCTTTTTGCTTTTTTGTATAAATCACTTTGAAGTTTGTGCTGTGATTTTACAAGCACTGCAGAATAGCTTTTACAGAAATGTTATTAAGTCTGAACTCAAGCCCTGTTATCTGGAGGACTGTGACACTTGTTAAAAGGCACATGCCATGCCATAGCAACTTAAACTCTTCTGCTGTGTCTTAGGAAGTGTGCAAGCTCCTGTTTTCTGCATGCTATGTGAATTTATTTGCAATGCATCTGGCTCAATAAATATATTTTCACATTTTTCCTATGACTGAATGCACAACAATCTGTTTTTAAAGAATTTTGAAATATGGGCATTGTCAGAACACTGTAACCTTCCTGAAGGGAATACTGTATCCATCTGAAGCGTGGGTTGATAATAAGTCTGTAATTCTTTTCATGTCCATTCAGTGGGAAGAAAAGGATTTAAATTATGTATTTTAAATCAAGGATAACATTTAAAAAAAAAAAAATGTAGATCACTGAAATAAACTTCTAGTAGTCTGTACTTCACTTTGTTCTTTGCCAGTTAATTCCTGTTCCTTGAAGATCAATCGGGCAAAAGCTAATGATCCTGAAATCCAGATTTCAAACAGCACAGGTTTTCTTTGTCTGTGTTTGTGAGACATTGAGGACTTTGATTATAATATGTAGTGTAAGTAAATAAGCTGTGTTTTAAAGGTTTTTTTTTTTTCTTGCTTCTTGAAGGAAAATTTCCTACTTTGGTATTACCTATGGATTTCCCATAAAATACATGCATAGGAAAAAAAACGTTTAGCTTAAAGTCTCATTTGAGATGCTACATAGTAGTGAGGAACTATATATGGTGAGAAAGTATATATGTACCTTATAAAAGGTGCAGTTTTGAAGCAGTGTTTACTTGGGCACAATAAATACAAATGAGTGTGCTGGCAGTGCGTGTCTAAGCAGGGGGAGGAAAAGTATTCTAAAAGTTTTATTCTGATGTTTCTTATTCTTGTAATCCTTTTAATATAGTTTATTTATACCTTTTAAATTTTAAGTGTGTTTGCCCTTCCCTTAATCTATATCTCATAGCAAAAAATAAGTAAGTGCCCTGGTGATTTCAACCAGTGCTATAATCCACCACATTATTTAGTGCATTAGCCAAGAAACTCAAATTAGTGAATCTAAACCACTACACTCATCCTGTAAAATGCAGAGGGAACACAGTATGGTGCTGTTCTTTGGAATCAGTTATGCAGGATGAAAGCTGCTTTAATTTCTGTAGGTGTTTCTATAGGAGAGAAGTGACTAAAATAAGGATTGTTTTTTCCTTCAAACAGCAGCTGTCACTTTTGAGATGTGCTGGCCCCCATAGCAGAAGAGACAATGTTTTATGGCCTAAGTGATAGCTGCCTCTTCAGTAGGCTGTTTGCAAAGACTTTTTGCTTCTGACTTCTTACTCTAAACAATCAATCTAGTTTTTGGCTATTGTCATAATTAATGTCATGATGTGTATCACTGTTTTCAGGCCTGAAGCAAACTCTGATGAACTTGTCTAAATTCCCCTCTTTCTCTCTCCACTGCTTGCTCTGGTAGGTCAGTCCTCAGCAGTGTATTTGATGAAGTGATTGAGGTGGATGTGCTTGACAGCGCTGACTCAGTCCATCTGGCTCTGATGCAGAGGCCAGAACTGGGTGTAACCTTCACTAAGCTTCGTTGTTGGACTCTTACTCATTACAGCAAATGTGTCTTCATGGATGCAGACACTTTGGTGAGTGGAGTGGGAGCCATGGAAACATTTGTGTCTGATTGTGGGATGCTTCCTTGTCAGGCAGCCTACTGGCCTGTGAAGTCACCCGATTTACTAGTGGTCACAAGGTCACAGGACCTCCATCCTGGCACGTTTCAGCAATTCTAACAGTTGTGCTGGCTGCATAAAAATAAATTCAGTTTGGAAAGTAGCCTCAGGACTGCCCCCAAAAGAGATCAGACTCAGTCTATGCACTGGGTCTTCTGACAGAAGTTTAAAATAAATCTTTCTCACATGCTTTTATATGGAATTATTCTGGTCAGGAAGGCAGGATGGTTTTAAAAGAAAAAAAAAAATCCCAGACAATACTTTTTTTTAAAGTTTTTAGATGTAGAGAGATAAAAATGCTCATAATTTTGGCTAGGACAATCATGTCAGCCTTCTCTTGAACTTTCATGACTCACCTTGAAAGACTGGGGTGCATCTTAATTTAATAAGACTGTATTTGAATTAGAAACCAAATTAAGTTATTCTTCTTAAGGAGGAAGTTTTATTTCTTCCTTTACATTAATGCTAAAGGAGGAAGGCAAATTTTTGTCTTTTTAAAAATTCAATTAAATAATTTTATGTCTAAAAAAATTTTCTTCTGGTTTTCATAGTGGCTCAGTTGTAGTTGGGGTCCTGACTTGTAGTGACTGCACAGCTGTCTTTCCACAAACTTTCTCTGTACCTTAACCTGATTGATTTCCCCACTTCCTTGTGAAGCTTGAAAGAAAAAAAGAAAAGTTAGTTAGAAAATTGACAGCAAGAGACAGTTTTTCTACTACCCTTTAATCAGTCTGTTACTTACTGAAATGATTTAGATTCCAAATTTTCATTCAGTTCTCTTATAGTTATCAAAAATAATGGACTATGGACAGGTGAGTTAAGAAAGAAGGAAATAGTGTGTTTTCATGGTATAATATTTAAAGGGACCTTGGATGGTCTCCAGGGTTCATTAAATAATTTCACAGGCTCTGCATTTTATCAAAAAAATCATGGAGAATCACAATTAATGTTGCCTTATTATATTAAAAATAGAGGTTCTGACCCCTAACATATTTTACAGTGGCACTGCTTTTATGCTCTGAAAGTCATACACTCGGCCAAACTATCAATTTATTTCATTGGTAATTTGACAATGCTTGTTCTAGACAAACATTTAAGAGTTTTTTTTATCTTTTCCTACTCTCCCTAAGGTACTTTGCAATGTGGATGAGTTGTTTGATCGGGAAGAGTTTTCTGCAGCTCCTGATTCTGGCTGGCCTGACTGTTTCAATAGCGGTGTATTTGTGTTCCGGCCCTCCTTGAAGACTTACAACCTGCTGCTCCAGTTTGCTGCTGAACATGGCAGCTTTGATGGTAAGGAGAAGGGTGAAAGGGATGAAGTGCAAGACAGTTTCCATGCTATCAGGCAGAATAGAGGAAGGCAGGAGTTCTCTGGGCTTTATGTAAGAATTCAAGGTGCAGAACTTTGTCTCTTAGACTGTATTTAAGACCTGTTGACTTACTCTGGACTGTGCTTCTCAGAAAAGGGCAGTGAAGGGACATTGTGTCTGAGTCTTGCTCCATAAGTTTTAATTTTGCTGTCTGGCTTAGGAGAGAGAAATACAGCTGATCTTCAGTCTTCTGCTCTGAGGGAGACCAAACACTATTCATTTCTCTTTATATTACAGTAGGACTTCATTTGTACTGAACTTGCACCAGAGTGAATCAGGTATTATTCACTTGTACATGCTCATATGGACATATTTTCAAGTCCAATTTGGAGTCCCATGAACACACCAATCTCAGTCCCCAGTCTCACTCCCATCCTTGGATGTGAAATTTTTATACAAATTTGGGTGTACACGTTTTGGTAATCCTCTCTTATGTATTCTTTAGGAGGTGATCAAGGCTTGTTGAACAGCTTCTTCAGCAACTGGGCAACAGCAGATATTGGCAAACACTTGCCTTTCCTCTATAACTTAAGCAGCAGCTCTGTATACACCTATGTTCCTGCTTTCACTCAGTAAGTAACCACACTTCTGTAAACCTCTGTAATTTGTTAACAAACATCCTTTTTCTAAGAGAATAATAATGACATATTTTGTTGACTATAAATTGCAGTATCACAAATGATCTTATGTAGAAACCATGCAATAAAAGCTTAAATTTAATGTGAATGTCTGGACACAGGGAGAGTCTCAGAGCTGGCTACACTGCCTTTATGTTCTTTCCAAGAAGCTTCTTTCATTTTTGACAAAATGTAATTACTTTGGCATTAGGTTCTGACAGGTTTACCTTTAAACTCGTTCCTTTGTTCTCAAGTAATTTCTTAGAGAAGCAGTTGGTGTTGCTTAAATTTTTTTGATCCATTCCCTAGGTTCTTCTATGACATGAAATTTGTTCTACTAATTATATGATTCCAGACAATGCAGTTGAGAAACTTTTCAGGCAAAAGGCAAGTAGGATTTAGGGTGTCATGAATTTCTGTTCCAGTTGCACAATACACTCTCATTGGAAGATGAACTTAGGCCAATGTATTTGTTAATAATTTTTAATATGTAATCAGTAATACCTAATTTTGGTGATTAAGTATTTGAAGTGATATGTGTTTGTTAGTGAATAGAGAATGAAGGAGGACTGGAAATAGTGCTGCATAAGCCTTCATGAACTTTTCTACTAGAATCAGCAGCTGGAAGTAAATGGCAATGCAGCTTTTTGTTTTCTGTATGTTAAACAAAATTAATTAAACCAGGAAGATAGAAAAAAAGAAAATAAATATATATCATCTTAAATGCGTAGCTGTTGCAAAATATTAAATTGCCTCACCTGTGAGTAATCATGTTCCTTCTAGAAGTTTATGTAAGCTGAAAAAATAAAAAAGACCTGTATGTTTGATCTCTACAGTTTTGGTAGAGATGCCAAAGTTGTTCACTTCATGGGAGCAACAAAGCCCTGGAACTACAAATACAACCTTCAAACAAAGAGAGTTATGCAGGATGGCACCACCTCTGGATCTTTTCACCAACTGTCGTTTCTTGCCCTCTGGTGGAATATCTACAGTGCCAGTATATTGCCTTTGTTGGAAAAAGGTGTTCAAAAGGTGGAAGAATCAGAATCTGAGGAATGCAAGGTAACTGATAAGGAGTTAGCGGGAATATATTGGAATCAAAACCAAACATTCTGAAAATTGCTAGAGAAAGAAATTATATGATGTGGTGAGCTGACTCTGGCTGGACTCCAAGCACCACCACAGACACTCTATTGCGCTCCTCCTAAGCTGGACAGGGGAAAGAAAATGTAAGGAAAGGCTCATGGGTCTGGATAAGGGAGAGATCTCTCACCAGGTACCATCAATAGTGAAACAGGCTGAACTTAAGGAAATTAATCAAATTTATAACCAATCAGATCAAAATAGAGTAACGAGCAATAAACACAAATTTCGAACACCTGCCTCCATCCCTCACTTCTTCCTAGGTTCAAATTTACTCCCTGTTTTCTCTGACTCCTCCACCAAATGGCACATGGGGATGGGGAATGAGGACTATGGTCAGTTCATTACATGTTGTCTCCGCTGCTCCTTCTCCCTCAGGGGTTGGGTTCCTCACACTCTTTCCCTGCTCCAAGTGTGGAGTCCCTCCCATGGGAAGCAGTCCTCCATGGACTTTTCCAACATGAGTCCTTCCCATGAGCTGCAGTTCTTCATGAACTGCTCTAGTGCAGACTTCCCTTCTGTGAGATGCAGTCCTTTAGGAGCAGCCTGTCCCAGTGTGGGTCACCCATGAGTCACAAGTCCTGCCAGCAAACCTGCTCCACTGCAGGCTCCTCTCTTCATGGGTCCAGTGGTCCTGCCAGGAGCCTGCTCCATCACGGGCTTCCCATGCGGTCAGAGCCTCCTTCATGCATCAGCCTGCTGTGGTGTGGGGTCCAGTATGGGCTGCAGCTGGATCTATGCTCCACCATGGACCTCCATGGGCTACAGGAGGACATCCTGGTGCATCATGGGCTGCAGGGGTATCTCTGCTCTGGCACCTGTAGCACCTCCTCCTTCTTAAATCTCTTATCCTAAATCACCAATGGGGCTGGCCTTAGCCAGTGACAGGTCCATTTTGGAGCCAGTGGGCATTGTCTCCATTGGGCTTGGGGGAAGCTTCTAGCAGCTTCTCACAGAAGCTACTCCTGGAATCACCCTGCTACCAAAATCTTGCCATGCAATCCCAATATGTGTGGGAAAACTTAGGGTCTTTTGGTTGGTAGTAGCACCGATTGCTAGTACCAAAGTAGCCATTTAGGAAGGATTTCTAGTACTATTTGCTGTCCAAAGATATCCTGCATCCATCTTCTTTGTTGATAAAGTTTTTATGGTAATGTATGTGCATACAAAAGTATGATAAAAATTAGCCAGAGAAGGGGCAGTCTGGTCCAGGAAGTAAGACTTTTGTTTTTCTTATAGCTAAATTGACATAGACCATCAAACTAGATCTTGAACTGTAATAAAATTTACTTTTTCAGAACTACATTATAACCTGTTTTATGGCATCATAACAAATAAATCAGGTTTGCAAAAGCAATGTTAATTGCATTTAAGATGTTATGTATAGTGATAATGTCATCAGACATTTACTGACTCTATGCTTTTTTTTCTTCAAAGGAAATGCAACAATGTGTGCTTTTCATGAACAGAATAAAAACCATCTGTTTGTAAATAGATGATTTCTTAGAAACCAGTAGCATGAAGAAATGTATAGAAGTACAATTTTAAATTTTGTACCCAGACATGACAAATTAGTTCCTATTTATGCATATGTAAATGTTTTCTTAATGTTTTGTAATATTAAATTATTAGCATAATTTAACTAATTGCATAGTCCCATAAGATCAGTTGAATATTTACCATCAAAGCCTCTGAGAATAATTTGACTTGTTAACCTCATGACAAATTGGAAAGCAGAGGAAGGAATGGATGGTTTTTGATCTTATACTTTAACATGCTTTAATTTTTAAGTCATTGAGTATTAAGGAAATATTTCAACTATGCTAAATGAAGGTAGAAATACCTGTTGGATTTACTTCATGGTGCTGGTGTACTCATGAGTGCAAAAAAGCAAAAACCTAAATTGCAGCATTCTCTGAATCTAGGACCATATACCTTTTTTTGCATGTATTAAAATGTTCTTTTAATGATGAAAGCCCTGTGAGGAACTGCAACTATTGTAAATGAGTTATTACTGTCCTGAAAAATTGTATTTCAGTGGTAAGATGTTCTTGTTTTCATTAGCATGCTTTCAATGGAGTTGAAGTTACCCTGAAGAAGGTCAGTTCTTACGTGGCCAGTTCTCTGCAAAAGCCTGAGCTCCCAGAGCAGACAAATGAAGTAAATCCCACAGCATGCTCAGCTGAGGAGCTCGCCTTTAAAGCTGTGAGTGTGTTGTGTATTATTATATGCAGTAACAAAGTCAAAGGAGATTCTTTCATTATACTTCTGATCTGGAAGATCATACCTTCAATTTAGCGGTAGCTATTGAATTTTCTCACTAGCATTAAAAATAATCTAAAGCCTAGTTATTTTCTTTAATCTCTAGTAATGCATGTATGATGTGTCTGGAAGTTGAAAGAGTTTGCTTTGCATTCTAGGAAGAGGTTATTTGTTCAAAGCTGTTAAGTACTTAATCAAATGTAATATAAAAAATCTGCAACCAAAGTAATACCTTGAATATTAATACTTTTGTGAATTAATATATTTAAAACTAGGATCCTTTCTATCATTCCGCTGTAGAAAGTTTTTTCCCACAAATGTGACCCAGAAAACTGTTCCACAAATTTCTGTGACTTGAGCAACAAAGAGAATGTTGAAAAAATCCACTAATGAATATTGCAGTCTTTCTGCTTCTTTTGTCATTTTTCTTGTATTTTTGTGTTTCTGTTGCACTAAATCTCCTTATTTCATGCTAGAATTAAGTTGGACAGAATAGCACAATGCCTCTGCAAGTCTAAGTCAATACATATTGGGTGATAAACCATAGTACCTCATGGTACAATTGGAAAAAAAAAATAAAAAAATAGTGTTCTAATGTCATCTGCCTAGTAATTTGTGAACTACACTCTAGAACGATGATGACAACTTTTAAGATGTTCTTTCCTTCATTTCTTTAGACTATAGTTACTCTATAGAGTATTCCCCTATTCCCCTCTTTCCTCTCCCTTCTTCCCTTTCCCCTCTGAGTGTGAAGGGGCTGAAGTTCCATAACTTAAAAATAATTTATTTGCAAAGAGTGTATTTTCTTGCATGCCTTATGCATCTGACTTCACTGGAAAGGCACAAACTACAAAGGGGCATGTTATCAAGATGTTTGTTTGGGGTAAAAAAATCATAACGTTCACCTACAGCGGTCTCATTAAAATTTAAATTTCTATTACTATTTTGATTACTAGGATTGGCTTATTAGACCATATTAATTGGAAAGTAATAGCCTGATTCCCTTCTTACTTAAGAATACCATTGCTCCACTTTTTGTTGCTCAGTGTCAATAGTCTTGTGGGATTGTTTAGGGGGGAAAGACTCTAGAATGAGGTCTTTCTACTAATTTATGTTTTGTTGTCTGTCAAAAGCAAATAGTTGGGACAATATTTTTTTGGCAATATATTTTACCTCTGTTTTGGAATACTTCTTATTTCATGCATATAAAAAGCTTATGTGAGAGCAAGCTAATATCCTGAAATGGGATTTTTCTTGTTGAAGTTTGGCCTCATGAATGGTAGGAATCCACTGTAAGTTGCATCCCAGGCTGGATGTGTAGTCACTGAAAAATGACAGTACTTTGAACTTGTTTTAGGATGAGATGAGCTGCCTTCTGGAGGTACTTATCCTAGATTGATTATAGTAAGAGCTTTGATTCAGTGACATTTTTGATAGCTAAAGCTGACAGGAATTGTCTCCTTGGTGATAATGTGTTTCCTTGCTTTCCCCCCATCCATTGCTTTACCCTACCCCAAGACTGAAAGTGATTTTATTGTAATGTATAAATTCTCATGAAAAGGAAATTATGATAAAATATTCTCCTAATAAAACCTCAGTGCCTGTATTTTTAGCAACCTGTGTATGAAGTCGAACCAAGAGATTCTAACATCCATCTCTCTGAGCCTGACAGACCTTCAGAACAACCTGTATTTCAACCTGCATATCAGGAAACCTCAGAAATGGTACATGTAGCTTTGTGCATTGAACATCTATTGATAACTGCATGTACATCTTTGCTGCCAACATAACTTTGGGAAAGCTCAACTAATTTTAATGCAATGTGCAAATAAATTCCTTAATCTTTTAGCCGTGTAATTCCTTAACTTAATACTGTGTTGTGATCCCTTTCCAGTTTTCTCTTCAAAACTTTGAGTTTTTAAATGTCTATTTTCCTGTGCTAACCCCTGAGTAGTCAGTGCATGCTGTTAATTTTAGTTCTCCAATATTAACACAAGCAAAGCTGTTTGGGTATTTCGTGTTTGTTAGCTCTGTTTTGTTTTGTTGTGGGCTTTTTTACCTGCTGAAGTGATGTTTCCAAGCAAGTGGAAAGGGAATGTGAGGAGCCTGAGTGACTAGGCTTTACTTTGTGATCTTGCACTGTATTTATTTGCACTTGCACATGTGGGCACACTTGGCGTCAAGGATTTGTAAGGTATGCAACACAGCCACTTTCCGAATGAGGGCTTTTGTATGATTCTGAAACACTGTGGTGAAATACCTTAAGACTGAGAAAAAAACCTGTTGTTCCTGTGTAGTCAGGGGTGTTTGGGCCCAAGCTAAAATTCTTAATTTCTAAAAATATGATGATTTTGGTAGTCTCGATAAAGTCTTGGTAGCTGTTGATAAAACTTGCCAATGATAAAGAAAGGAACCTTCACACCTTACTGCATTTTGGCTGTTTGAAATAGGTTACCTTGTCTTGCACAATCCTGTGCCTTATCTGCCCCAAAATGGCAGAGTAATGGATTTTCCAGGGAATTTAGGCAGTTTCAGACATTGATTCCTGCCCATTAAATTCTATTCTGAAATGTTTTTACCTTGAATTTGTGAGAGCTTCACTAGAAAGCTGTTCTAGTCGATTTCAGTTTTGTTTATAACATGAGGCGTTCTCCTATGAGCATCTTAGAGTACCACTGAAAGCAGGTTTTCAGTGGCTGCCTTGATTAGTCCTTGAAGCTCATCTTTATTACAGATTATAATTGTTGGGATGTTCCCCTTTTGCTGTCATTAGTCAATTGCAGACACAGTTTTTCTTTTATGTGGTAGAAATTATCACTAATAATGTGTCTTGCATTTGTGCACCTATGATGATGTGACTTTGAACCAGCATTTACAATTTTGGAGTGTCACTCAAAATGAACCAGCTGTTGGTATAATGAATAGTGTCCATCTTTTGAATTAATTTAATGAACTATGTCTCTGACATCTGCTAAATAATTCTGATTTCACTGGCTTTCAAATAAAATAAATTACCAAAAATTCTAGAAATGCATGTTCATATGAAAGCCTGTTGGAGACAAGATTTGAACAGATAAATTGTAAATTCTTTATTGTAGCAGATATTCTACTCTAACCAGTCAGTATTTTAATATTTTCACTGTATTGTTGCTGAGTATGCCAAGATCTGGTATCTGGTATATTCAATGATGTCTAGAAAGTACTAAAACCATGGGAAAATAAGGTCACATTATCAAAACAGGAATGAATGTTTGAATATTGATTATTTTATTGTTTTAACTGGGAGTGTACAGTGAAGTTTATCATTTAAGGTTTAACTTCACAATATTGAAATTAGAACAGCCAAATGACTGCTTTCCCACTCTTCTTTTATTTCCCACAGAATGAGGTTGCACATTCCGTTTCAGAGCTGTCTATTCACTTCAAACCAGCAAAACCAACTCCAGAAGATGAACGGAGAAAATGGGAGGAAGGGCGCATGGACTATATGGGGAAAGATGCTTTTGAACACATCAAAAAGAAATTGGATGCATTTTTACACTAAGACAGAGTGTACTGTTATGCCCATCGTGATAGATATTTTTTTATAATTCAATTCATGAATACTTGGCTTAACCAGTTTAGCTGACACCAGTTAGAGGTTCTTATGGATCCTTATATTTATATTGGGGGACCTTAAAATATATAGAATCTTGGTTTTTAACTGATAAATGTGCCTCAGCTTAATTGTTACAATTGTCTCATCTTCATTGTATTCACACAGTGCCTTCTAAAGCATAATGAATGGTACCTTTCTGAGTATGAACTCTCATGTATTTATCACACTTCCCTGATGCACCATCTGCATTCTGCAGAAACAGTCATGTGTAGGAAACATGTTGGAAATTTAAATTGTTTTGGAAGTTGGACTTTTCCCAGATTGAGATTATTCCCAAAGTACTTCCAGAAGTTGCTATAAAGTATTTAAATAAAAAGAACTTATTATTGAAACCAAATTTACACAAATTTCAAGAGTAACTGTGATGTAGGCTTCAATTCAGGAAAGAATTGATGAAAAGCTGACTTCATAGGAGTCTGCAATAAAACTTTTCAATTTAAACACATTTTAGACACAATTAGAGGAACTTCAGAGTTCATCTGAGATCACTGGTGGGTGCTCTACCTACTTATAGGAAGCTGCTCAGTTCCATAGCAAGTGTGAGGAAGTGTGGCTTAAAACTCTTCAAAGCAGAGTGATAATGTATGTTAACCTTTTATATTGTTGCCATAGGATACTGATGCTTTTTTAAATATTGTAAGCTTTAATTGCATATTCTGAGTTGTGTGGTCAGGAGAAGAAATGCTGACAGCATGGTGTAAACCTTCTGGTGCTTTTTATAAATTTGTTTACAGTACTTCAAACTGCAGCTGCAAAAGGCCTTCTTTGGCTTAGCATTACTGCCCCCATACTGAAGGCAATTTGAGTGCAACTGAAAACAAAATTGGTACTTGTTTTAGTAAACAGGCCCTTTGAAGATCTCTTAAACAATAGCTGTGTGTGGGAACTCATAAATCTCTGAGGATAATTCCAGAAAAAAATCTACTGATGAGACTGCATTATATTAAGGACACTTATGGGGGAATGTTTTTTGTATTTGAGTACTTGACTCATCTCAGTGACTTTGTTTTAACAAACAAGTAAAATACTTCTTTCAAAGCAAAAAACTGTTAAATAAAGAGTCATGACAGTTATGCTAATATAATAATAGATTTTACAGTTATTTGTAACCTAGCTCAATATTGGAATAAGAATTCTGCAGTGATGTTGCAGGACTTGAAATATTTTGGTCTAAATACATCACGAATTTTGGCAGACAGATGCCTAAAGAAACATTTTGGGAATTCTGTCAAAAAGCAATGATGTACTGTTACGCACAGATGCTAGCAGGATAAAAGGATGGCAGGATAGGAGGGAAGAAGAAATTTTTATTTCTTTTCCCTTCCATCAAAAAGGATGAGAATGTGGGGCAGGGAATAAGTGCACAAATCAAGAAAGGAATGAAAGAATCAAAAGGTCCCTTGAAAGAAGAAAAAAAAGCTTTTAAGTATCTTTGAATTACGTCCTAATATTCACATTAATGGATTTGCTTTCACTTTTGTAGAATACTTCTGATTTTATCTAGTTCTCATTTACCCTTAAACTCTTAAATGGGGAATCCTATTGTTGTGTCTGTTGAATACAATCTTCTAGGTCAAGTTAGGTGTTTAAGGGCAGCAGAGAAATTGAGAACAGTTCTCTCTCTGACTAACCTTAGCACCCTCTATAGCCCATGTTCCTGGGTAGGTGACCTTCACACTTGAGCACAGGTGGGTGTATTCTACCTCTTGGTGCTGTGGCCCAGTGCAGCAGGTGGAGATGACAGCAGCTGCAGTGTACCCTCACTCACCTGGCATTTGATCTTCTGATTATCCCTGTTTCTTAGTGATCCTCGTGCACTGCTGAGAAAGTCCTCTGCTTTATAAATATTGCTGCTAATACAATCCTAATAGCTTTTGAAGACTAAATAAAGCTGTAGTCAGCAATGTGAACTCATGCTTCATACAGCTGTGCTTTTTACATTACCTACTTATTTGGTACATTGATTAGATTATGTAAAAAAAATTACTGATGTGAAATCAGTAACTGAAGGTTTTTAAAAATATGCATATGAATGTAATCAAATATGTGATTGAGTACTTTTCAAACTGTTAATATGTACAGTGGTACTCTGTGTGGCTTATACAATGTTTTGCAAAGAATTATAGTACAATAATGTAATGGAAATAAAAGAAATGGAAAAGACATATGAAGTCATGTGCTTATCAAATGATGAAGAAAAATTGGTTGTTTACATTGTGTCAGGGAATATTACTTGTGAATAACTAGTTATTTTAATTTCTTTTTAAATTTTATTTAATTGCTTTTGAGACATTAGCATTACATGCTGAGCAGAATTAAAAGTTGAGAGTAATAATTATTTCTACAGATATACATAATTATGATGTTTAGGATCTCTTGAATTGGCAAACAGTAGTTGGTTTATTGTTTTTCATGGAAAAGTACAGCTGTTAAAAGCCCTGCCCTAATTTTTGTTCCTGTCTTCAGACACAAAAATTGAACTAGTTACTGGTAATGTAGTGTTGTAGTGCTTCTAGCACACAACTGTTGCCAGCAGGCTGTGAAAAGGGACAATTTTTTATGTGAATGCAGTGCTGTGCTTCAGGCAGCATTCTGGGCTTTTATGGCCATCATTTTGAAGTCCTGGGGTCACAGGCAGGTCTGAGGGATGTTAGGGGCTGCATGTGGCCATGAGCCACAGCACTGAGGTTTGCTAAGTCAAAATGTGTCTTGAGGAAAAAAACAAACCTACCAAGCTTCACCTGGAATTTTTTTCCCCATATTTAACTGTGGTATAGCCTCGAGTATTTTTAGGGTAAAGAAAGTTAAGAAATGTAAGCTTTTGGTGGCACTATTCATCTTTAAACAAGGCCAGACTATGGCTTACTGTTGTAGACTTTGTATTTAGAAAGGACAACTTGTGTTTAAAACAAAACATGCTGATTCTTCTGTCATGTGCTTGGTGTTATTCAGAGCTTTTATTTGCCATACAACAATTTTATTGGGTGCTCTTCATGTAAAAGAAGGAGATAGTGTGGGTGTGCCACAAGGGAAATTCTTGAAAATTTTAGACATGTGGGTTAATGCACTTTTCTAGCCTACAGGAAAAGGACATTGGTGTTCCTGAAATATCACTTGACTTACTGCCTAGTGTTTTGTGAGGACATTTCCATCTGGGTTGTTCTTTCAAAATAAGTTTTCTTTGTCTCTCTGTATCAGTCAGCTCACAACATTGGCTTTTCTAAAGCTGGCACTTGAAAAAATGCTTTGTTTTGTTTGGCTTTCTACACCTTGATTTTTCTATCCATGAATGGGAGGCTGGGTTAGTAGCAGGTGTTTGATACTTTTGTGTGCTGCTATAAACAGCTTGTTGTTCACCAATAAGTCTGCACTATGCCTATTTATTCCTTAATGGATCTGGTTCAGTTGCTTTCCTAATCTAAACTGCTTTGATTCTTATGACTTTGAACATAACATTAAATGTTCCTGTTTTCTTAATTTGTATCTCATTAATTCAAATCTCACATTCCAGTGTCCCCCCCAAGTTTTCATTATTTTGAGATTTTATTTATGTGGTTCAAATTTTTGTTGATTTGGCTTTTTTTGTTTGTTTGTTTGGTTGGTTTTTATCAACCCAATATATGAGATTTAATGTATGGTAGTGAATTCTTAGATAGCCTCCAAAAATACGTTCCAGTTTAGACTGCTCATTGAAGTAGTCTGCATTGTCAGTATATTGGTTGCAAAATGTTTCAGCTAAAATTCTGTTTATGCTGAGTTGGATGGTTTATATATAGTTTCTTTTGAGCTAAAAATTAAAAGGTGTGACACTCAGGTTATATTTTCCTGGTATAAACTTTTGGTTTCTAATAACATTATACCATAATTATAGCAAAGGTAGCTAAAAAATACAATAATATATAATTGACTTAAATGTATAAATAATAGTTGCTAGAAAACTAGGAGTTATATTAATAAAGAGAAAAAAAAATAGAGTTGCAAGAACTTTTTTCTTGAATTTTACTCTCACTGTTGTCAGAACCCTTTCAACAAACTAGAGGTATAAAAACTTTAAAATTCCAATACAGCCAGTCTCTGAGTTGTGGTAATTTTAATACTTTTCAGGATGGCATAACATTAACTGCCTTGGAGAAGTGTTTGTTCAATTTTATGCCACAGTGCATCATTCTGAACAATGATAAATTCAGTAAACAGAAAATTTGTTTATTTTAGAGCAGTAAGATTTTCAGAGCCTTCTCATAGGATTAGATACTTGGAACAGAACTAATCATATGTCATGGATGGGCACCTGTTTTACGTTCTGTTTAGTTTAGAGGCTTTTTTTTTCTCTTCTTTTCAAACCTCATTAATTCTTTCTGTTTCCAAACCTTTTACTTACAGCTTTTAGACAAATGCCAGAGCAGAAGCCAGGGTTGTTTGGATCCTCTAGTAACCTCATTTATCTCAACATGGGGAGTTGCAATTTGTTTTTTAAGCTTTCTTTTCTGGCCTTCAAAAAATTTAAGTGATGCAATAGTATGGTAATTCAATAAGAAACTAGGTTTTGAATAAATCTCATTTTTTTTAATAGAGTTGATTAGATTTAACATTACAATCAAAACACCCTGCAAAAATCTAGTGTCTTATTGAATTCAACACAATGTGTATGCCTGTGTGTATTTTAACCTACAACCTGTCATGAGCAAAAGGTTTTTTCTTTCTCTTTGGTCATTTATGTAAATTCCTCTCAGGGTACTCAGAGTTCTTAGGAATCTTAGGAATGAAGCTGGATAACTTTTGAGCTCAAATTACCTTTCTCAGTTTATTTGCTACACAACTATTTTGCTTCTTTAGAAGACAGGATCTTGTGATCTGTGTGCTGGCACTCCCTTGAGTCCCAGCAGGGAGCAAAGCAATGTGTCTAATATTTAAACATGGTGAAGTGAGGCTTCTCAGGAGCTTATTGTCTCACTCCTGTGAGACTTGACAATTGCTCTGTTGAGTCAGTCTAATGCAACAATTCCAAATGTCATTTAAAAATGATCAAAGGAGTTAAGTGGAAGTCAGCTTCATACAAGATGAATGTCAAACATTTACACAGTGCAGCCACAGCTCTTTCAGTAAAACAAACTTCATTTGTTACAGAGTAATACTTCCCTCTCTATGGTGTCTATATTAAACCATGTGTAGGTATATTCTTGTATAGCTAACAATGGCTTGGAGATTGGTCAGTTGTCTCAGGTTTTCCCAACAGGACATTTTATGTAGTTCTTGTACCTTTCTGCAAAGGGGGAAACCATGAGAAAAGAAGGGAGAAAGCACCCAATTTAGGCTTTATTCTAATATTAATATATTTTGAGAAATATCATTATAGATGATTTTTCAAGGAAACCTATGGAAATGAATTAGAGTTTCATCCTTCCAGTATTATTCAAGAAGATTTTGTGACACATTTTTTGCCTATTAATGCATTTTATGTGAAAGGGTTCATGAGGACAACTCGAGTGTGATCTCGAGTTGTTCATCTGCTTTATGTGAAATATACATTTAACAGAAGATCAGAAGAACAGCTTCTGCAGAGCTTACATGTTCTTATGAAAGTGTATACAGACAGAGATTTGCAACCAATCCATGGCTAGGATATGCATGAAACAGGTAAAATAATTAACCTCCTTTTCCTGCTTACCACTGTCTCCTCAAAATCTGTATGTTTTAAGATACATTTAGCTTTAGATGGTGAGAGGAACTTAGGAGTGAAAATAGTTTTCTCTCCTCTCCCCCTGTTTTTTGAAGTGATGTGCATCCTACTTAGCAATTTCCCATTACTTTGCTCTACTTCTCGCTTGCAGGTCATCTATGTGCAGTGTCTGCCCTCTCCCTCTCTGTGTGGGAAAAGCACATTTCCCTGTGCCTGGCTGAGGCCTCTTAACAGTTGACAAAACTGGTTCTCTATGCTGTCAGCCCTAATTTTTCCTCCTCCTGCCTGAAAGCGCCTCTGGTTTTCCACAGATGCCATCCAAGATAATTTTATCTGTGTTTGGATGTCAGAAAGGCAGTGTGGATATCTACATGACTCTTTAGCATCTGACTCTATACAGCAGTCCAGCAAATTTAATTTTCAGAGGAACAAGGTGTAAGACAAATGTTTAATGTTTACATTTATACAGGGTGATTTTTTTTCACACTGTGTTTGGAGATGGAGTTCTGGGTGTTGCTGAAGTACTGGCCTTCCTAGTCTGGTTTCCTAAAGTTTGGATCTATGCTTGAAAGCTGAGTGGGTGCTTGAACACTGTCCCATCCTCTGGTAAATGCTCTCATCATGGCCAAGTGTGGGACTGGGCATGTTCTTGTGTGTAAGTCATAGAACGTGCTGAGTTGGAAAGGACCAGCAGGATCATTGAATCCACCTCCTGGCCCTGTGCAGGATGCTCCAAGAGCCACACCATATGCCAGAGGGCATTGTCCCAATTCTTTTTGAACTCAGGCAGGCTTTGTGCTGTGGCCACTTCCATGGGGAACCTGTTCCAGTGCTCAGCCTCCTGCTGTGTGAAAAACTTTTTCCTGATACCTAACCTAATGATTGGAGTAGGTGAGTGGGGAATCCAGTGAAGTGAACTGAGAAAGAAAACCTTAGCCTTGTACTTAACTGGTAATGTAGATGCTACTGAACTGACTGCCTTGACAGCTTTTGACTTTGTTCCCCACTGAGCAGTAGGATTTTATCTCCATCTCTGAATCAGCCAAACTGGCTTTAAAATGTGTGATCTTTTATGCTCTTTTCTCCCTGCATGAATCCAGTGAAATGCAGCTGCTCTGGTTTAAGTCCTTGTTAGCCACAGAAAAGTGTCAAATCTGACAAGTGTGTAGCAATGCTGGTGCAGATTTAAGCACTATCAAGAAGTGAGAACAAACACATTTTGATATTTCTATTAAGTGTGGCATTGAGGTATCCAATCAGGTCATTTTCATGCATGCCCTATGATTTATGTGGAATGTTTTCCACATAACTTTCTCGGTGACCTTTTAGAGAAAAGATGAAATGGAAAATAACCTGGAGAAATGCCTGGTCAGCTTTTTTGGGACTTGCATTTGGTGGTGCATCATGATCACAGCCTATGCTGTTTAAACAGCAGCAACTCACTACACCTCTGACCCAGCACACTGGAGGTGTGAGTCGGGAGGTTCCCTGAAACACTGCAAAGGGTGTATAATCCATACATGCACTCTCCTCTGTCCCAAAGCTGCTGAAAGGGACCTGCTGTGGCAGATCAGGAGCTGAGAGAGAGACCTGCTATGGGCCTTCTTGTCTCTTCTTGCTTCCAAAAGGCAAAAAATGACACACAGGTTACCTTGGTCCTGAGGTAGAGCTGCACTGGTGTGGCTCCCCAAGACAGCAAGCAAAGAAATACCACCTAAAGTACCTGCTCTGCAGCTCTTACCACCCCTTGTTGCTTTTTAAAGCCTGGGTGACTGTTAGTAGGAGTTGAATATACAGTGCTCAGGAAGACTTAGAAGTTTGACTCAGAGTCTCTTGCCCACAATCTACTTTTTGGAGGGAGGAAAAATTATGGGAACCTCCATTTGAAAATCTGATTTGACACAAAATCCATGAAAGACCATGGCTGGGATTATATCTTGAGAGAGTAATTTATTTAAACTAAGGGCAGCAAGAGAGGATTAGATATTTTAATTCCCTCCCTTTCCCTAATAACTGTACAGAGTGCTGGCACTTTTTTGGCTTGGGGAAGATGACCTGGACACAGAAGCGATTATTCTGTGAGGTAAATTTTTTTACCACCTCCTGCTGAAAACAAGGTGTTTTTTCACAAAACAAAGAATATTTTTCATGGGGCATTATGAAATCAGATGCACTGTCACTCAAGTGGGACATGTAGGCTTAATGAACTGGTCTCAGATGGGTCCCAAGCATTCCCAACTTCGCAATCTTCTCAAGGCAGCAGGATGGTGATTTCAATGCTCTCGTAAGTGAGATGACTTAAATACGTGGATAACACTTTTCAGTAAGAATTGTTGTGGTTTAGCATTTCAGAATAGCTAGGCACTTTGCTGCTGATCTTGAGATACTAACTTTAGCTATCTAATTTTTAAAACATACTTGTCAGTTCAGTTTTCCCTGGGAATTCTTACATGACAGACAAATATACAGATGATAAAGCATAAAATTGCTGTAAATTAGTAGGTGTTTATTTCTGATGCATATTGGTTTATTTCCAAATTAAATGTGCAATTTTATTTTTCATTATTTTTTTCATTGTGATCATCCTTTCATTTTTGTGCAACAGGTTTTTTCATTTAATAGATAAGGCCTGGATAAGCCTACCCTCTTGGGCTCAGTCCTGTTCTCTCAACAAGCATATTTTCTATACAAACATCTGCTAGTAAAAATTTGCTTTTTTATCAGTCATCATTTGCTTGAATTGTAAGTCAGTAAGAAAATAAATTTTGTTTCATTTATTTGGTATTTAATCCTAAATTATTCACTTCAGGGATAGATTATACAGATGATCCCTAATTTTTTTAAAACCACAGGCTTACTTAATTTCTGTGGGTGAGAGAAAAGGTTGAACAAAAACAATCGCTAGAAGGGATTTTAAATTTAATTAATTTAATTGAACACTAATTAAGGGACTAATAATGTCCTTTTTAGTTATTCTATTATAATTTAATCTTTATCTCTAATCTCTTTATGACTGTAGTCCCGTGAACGTGAAAAATTATGAATTTCTTTAAAGCTAACTGTACTTTGACTTTGGTATTAGACTATTCTTTGTTATTTTCTTCATGGCACCAACAGAATGGGAATGTCCCACAGCATGGCTGCAGCCATGGCTTCCATCTATTATTGTAAGGAGACAGCTGCTGTGGGACTGGAGTCAGTGTCTTGCGATGCTCTTCCACAGCTCTCCTTATTCTCCTTGTTACAGTGTCAAACAAGGGCTCAGTGTCTGCTGACAGAGGATTTGCCTCAGATGGATCTTGTGAGAGATTGAACAGCAGTGGAGGGTCATGATGGGTTACACCATCCCCGAAACATGGACAAATTCCTCTTCTGAAGCAGGCCCCAGAAGCTTCTGGCTGAAATACCGGAGTAGCATAATGAGCTTTCCATACAGTGCCACCTGTCACAGAAGAAGCACATTTGAACAGCTTAATGTCATTAGGAGCTGGTGGGTGGTCCCTGAAAGCTTGGTTCATGTTTGTTCATGTTTGTTGTTCCAAGGGGAAGCTTATGTCATGGCTGTTGCATACAGGGAAAAGGTGGAAGGAACTCAGATGGTTTTTGTGGCTCATGGGTACACCTTGGCTCTGGGAACCATGTGCAGTATGTGGATGGTTAGTCCAGTGTTTGCAGTACAATGGGTCTGCCACTTTCTTGTTCCCCTTTAAAAATTTTCATGCCTCTTGGAGGGGGGGAAATGGAGAATGCAGTCCCCAATTTCTGGGTGTATATATTCATAGGAGCTCTTCTTCTGGCTCTTCTTCACTGTCTGAGTGAAGAAGTACATTTAGGCAGAAACTGATCACATCTTATTTCTCTGCTTATATTCCAGCACACTTCCAGAAAGGGTGCAGGTTAATTGCAGGCCTTTAAAACAGTAAAATCTGGAATCTAGCTTTTAAGTTAAAGTGAAGAAGGCAAATAGTTCACAGCTTTAGAGCTTGTACTTCATCAAACTATTGTACTGACCATGGGATAAGTGCAGGTTTGTAACTTGTGGTGAAAAAGTGGTAAATTACTAGGACTACAGCTGAATGTGGTTCATCAGGATATTTTACTTCTCCCTCCTCCTTTTTCTCCTGTTCCTTACCCCACATTTAGAAAGCACTACACTGAACTCAGAAGCGAGGATGTACCCAACCAGAAGACAGCAATTAGACACTATGTCTGAAAAAGGAGACAAGAAGAAAGGGGACATTTACAGCTTGGAGTCACTTCTGTGCTCAAAGCATTAAAGAGTTGACAGCTGCATTGTCCCTACATGGAATTTTCTTTTTGGTACAATGGAATCAGCTGAACTTTTCTTCCTTTCTTCTCTTGTGTCCAGCGTTCTTCTTTATGTCTGAAGCCTGCAGCTTTATTCCTGTCTCTCTCTTGTCACTATGCTAGAACAGTATTTTGTGAATAAATAAAATTTAAGAACTTCTTAAAAGGTGAAGGGGAACAAATAACAGATATTAAAGTTTAGGTAATATCTTGGATTAAAATATCCCATTGCTGGTTAGCTAGCTGGGTTTGTATCTCTTTATTTTCACCACGCATTTTCCACATCCTGCATCTGCGCTTTTACAGAGCTTTTATAGAGGGATGCTCCCTCAATGGTTCTGAAATGTTTTGGTGTAAGAAAATGAGGATAAATGTTTGATATCTCAATTTCTGAAATTGTGAAAGAAGGGAAAAACAATGTTTTCTGAAAGAAAAAGGGTTAGAGCATGATAGTGATATTGGCAAGGATGTGGGTTCAATCCCCAGGTGGGTCATTTCCTTAAGAGTTGGATTTGATGATCCTTATGGGCCCTTTCCAGCTCAAAATATCATGGATCAGGAAATAAAGATTAAATATTTCAACTTTCTGCCAGCTTACAAGGGCAGACTGATACTCCTTAGGTCTGTTTGAGTATTTGCTTTGCTGCTGGCTGGATGTCCTCTGCATCCTCAAGCTTATCCCTGTCTTGTTACTAATGACAAGTGCAGGCATCCTCTGTGGTATCAGGGTGCCCAGAGCATGGGATTTGCTTCTTATGTCTGCTGGTCAGGTAGTATAGATATTTTTTGCAAGGAATTAAACAAACACTCTCTGGGACATGCATTTTTTTCTGAGTATCTGGCTCTGGTTGGAGTGCTGTTGTGATATTGCTAAAATAACTGTTTATTAGTTAAATATGAGATGTACAGATAAATTTATCCAGATGTACACAGGAATTTGTGATCAGTGCTCAGAAAAACTGAAGTAATCATTCTTTTCCACAAATAAGTTAGGTGAATTCTTTATAATTTATACTCTGTATGGAAATTTGAAGTAGTGAGTGTAGAGTGTCTGGGGAGAATTTTTCTGATTCTAAATTTTGACATTCCCTTTTCACAGCTGCAAATAATTACTAGAGTTGCAGAGTAGGAGACAGATAGGTCCTTGTTAGCTGACTTTGAAGGATAGAGCAAGGCTGATTTTAATTAACCTGTGTTGGTGAGCTGAGTAGACAGTTGGGTTACAGAAGGATAAAAGGAAAAAAACGGTAGTAGAAATTAGTGGTGATAAAAGCAAGAGACACATTACTGATCCCCAAGAGGCAAAGAGGGATATACAGTTTGCTAGGTAGCTCAGGCAGAATCTGAAGGATGCATGTGCATGTTAGGGCAACGTGCTAATTTAATATATCCAAGGGAAAGGAAGCCTGCTGCTTCATTCCAAACATGTCTCAAACCCCTCTCGTAACAATCAATCAGTTTAATTAGCAGAAAGTAATGGACTGTCACTAATAAGACTTATGGTGTAGAGGTAAAGGAAAGGACTCTTTAACATATAAACAAAGGATTCTTCTGACTTCAGTGAAGGCCTCAAAGGATAGGTCCTGCCTGGGTGACATCAAGACACAATGGCTTTGTGTCTAGGCTGATCAAGATGTTAACAGATAATAAATATGTAATGTGAGGGTGACATACTTGCAAATGAACTAAAACAGACTGTTGCTCAGCCCAATCAGAAGAAATTACAGCTGGAGAAAAGAATCTAAATTTTTTGCCTGACTGAAATCTGAGCTACATATTTGATTAGCTGGTCTTTTGTATGCAAAACATGGCATTGTTTTCTGGCCCCTTGCCATAAACTGTTCGATGAGAAAAATTTTAGCAAGTCCTGCATAAGAAATCTAGGTGTGCACGTGGCTTCATAAGAACATGAAATGCCACCAAATCCACCTTGCCTCTGCATGTTGTATGCATAGCTACTGAAGTAGAACTTAAATAGCTTAGAAGAACAAGCAATATAATTTAGGTAAGGACAACATCAAGAGAACCTGAAAAGAAATTCTGCAAATGTCCCATGTGATTGGAGTATGAATTTAGCCTTTCACTAAGGAAGTGTGGCATGACTCTTCCAGCAGAAATATTATCCAGGAACTGGGGCAGTCAGACACAGCTTTCTCTGCTCAGAAACATTCTGTGTTCATGAAATATGGTGTGCACTACAGAGAAACAAAGAGAGATCTCTAAGAATGGTGAGGGATTGTTGAAGGTCTACTTCCCAGGAAGCAAACTCCTTCACCTCAGGCAAGGCAGGATAACTAACAATGAGGTGTTGTGGAAGAACAGGGAATTTGAGGCAGTGAACACATTCCATATATATATATGTATATACATTTATATGTACATTTCTACATTATGTTCCATTGGAAGCTAGAGGACATTACATCACGTCTGACCCGCAGGAGGGGGATGTTTGTACTCACTGTCCTTCTGGTGCCAGCGCACTGCATGCAGAAACACACCGCAGTAGTGGAACAGGAACTCGTGCCTGGAGTGCTGCTCTGTCCCCAGCAGCAGGGGCAGCAAGGTGTGCCCATCCATGACCCTGATGGAGAGGACCAGAGTCACCAGACAGCTTAAGAATTTAAAGTCTGCAGCTGAAGCATGAGCAGTACTCACTCTGTGTGTTCAGCATTAAGATTTCAAGCGTCATCACTAAACCAAGGTACTGTTTAGCTAATGAGCCCTGAGATTTTTAATTGGGTGAATGTATGGTGACAAGTAATTAGCAGAAATTAAAAAAGAAAAAAAACTAGAAGTTTTTGCATTTACAGCTAGTTCACACATCCTGCCTGGGGAGATCAGTCACCGTTATGTAATTTTCCCGGAAGCGATAACAATAGTGAAGGCATAGTTCACACGTTTTAATTTTGCCACCTGAAATGGAAATCGCTGACAGCTCTGTGACCTCCAGACTTTATAAAAATAATAATAAAAAAAGAAGCCACTTACTGAATTGCCTAGCAATTCAGTTGCAGTCTGGGTTGTAACTGTGTTTAGCTACCAGTACTTTTACCATTACTTCTATGCTTTTTTGCTAAAATGGCTTAGCCACCCTCACTTTCTCATGTCCTTTAGAGAAGTCTTGTTTTTTTTCAGTCACCCTAGTGTCCCAAATCAACCAAACTACTTTTCAGTGATAGGAAAACTGAGTTAGCTAAATGACCCTTGATAAAACATATGGGTTTTTTTCTTTGTCTTTTTCACATAAGCAGACAAGATGGAGAAAGCTGTGCAAAAAGAAAGCTAGAGAGCTGCCTGTTTTAGAAACAAAGAGAGTTTAATGTGTGGCTGTTGGGATGACACAGTCAGCTTCTGACCAAATAAAGTAAGAGAAGCAATATGATTTATGAAGCCACCTCTGTACCTGTCCTGAGGCACTGCCCCTCCAGCCAGTTGAACCAATGTAGGATAAATGTCCATAAGGCTTGTAGGTTCATCAATAACTCTGCCTGCAGGCAACACTCCTGGCCATCTAACTATGCCTGGAACACGGATTCCTCCTTCCCATCCTCCCATTCCTTTTCCACCTGTTATAGAAGGGGGAGAAGTGTCAAAAATATAATAGATGATACCAGATGTTTATTGTGCATATATAAAAAAATGGTTTAAAAACTTCAGAATATTTCATGCATCTTTAATGAAAACATATTAAATCCTGGAAAACAGTAGACTGTCATTCAGTAGTGGCTCTTCTCATTATTTCTATGTGTGGCTTATTTATCTGCTTGTTTTTAATAAACAGTTCCCAATAGCAAGAGTGAATTTTACAGATATTTACTAATTAAACTGTATTTTTTAATCTTGCTAGTTTGTCTCACTGGCATATCCCTTGTATGTGGACATAAATAGTTATGTCTTTCTATTATTGATATCTAAATTGATATTGTATCCTCTCTTGCCTTCTCACTAAGCAGTCATGATTTCATCATTGTCCTCTCATCCTGAACTCCCTAATGGCATTTGTCTTTTCCCTCTGGACTCTCCTGCTATTAATACTATATATTATACTAATAATACTATGTTCCCCTAGTGGAGGTGAATTCCTTAGATCAGATTCTAAGCTATTCAAGTGATATTCTTTGCCATTTTGCACGTGTAACTGGCATGGGATCTTCATATTAAGAACTAAAGGTGAATTTTATGTTTATGACTGTGTGTGTGGGTGGATCCCAACTGTATCAAACATTGATTGTGTGGCTCATCAAGTAACTTAGTACTAGACAATGTGAATTGTGATGCTGAGCAAGGTCAATGTGCACATGACTCTTCTGTGGGGAAACATGTGATGGCTGCAGCTTTCAAACTTCATTATACAGTAAGTGCCAAGCTGCCCAGGATGTTACAGTGACTTTTCAAGGCTTAGTAATCTGGAGGAAGAACATATAAAATATACCATAAATCTTCATTTACACAGAGCTTTTGTCACTGTGTTGCAAGCCAGCCATAGAGGGTCTAGAAGAAACTTCTATAGGATGGGTGAGAAACTGGAGAACTGTAGTATGAAAAATAGACATCATGGTATCTGCCAGTGTTGGCACAGTGGAGAGGAACCTTCTGAAATTCAACAAAGACAAATGCAGGGCTCTGCATCTTGGGAAGACTAGCCCCATGCCCCCTTACAGGCTGGGGCTGAGCTGCTGGACAGCAGCTCTGCAGAGAAGGATCTGTCCTGGTGAACAACGAGCTCTCCATGAGCCAGCAGTGCCCTTGGGACTAAGAAGTCCAAGGGTATCCAGGTGTGCATTAGGAAGAACTTTGCCAGCATATTGAGGGAAGTGGTCCTGCCCCTCTACTCAGCCCCAGCCCTATGAATAGCAGATGCCCTTTGTTTCAGCCCTACAATCCAATGTTATAATCTCACCATATAATTTTTTTTTATTATAGTGTCTTTGTATATATTTCTCCATCTTTTCTTATGAGGAAGTTTCATGCCTTTATAGGAATTTTACCTTTATATATCCCATTCCATCCACCCAACTGAGAATTTCCTCTGTGAGCCTCTAAGAATCCTCCATGATCAGATGCAAAATAAACGAATGTGGTATTCTTCAAGTCCTCTTTGTCAATAACATCCAGAAGCCTGCCTGTAAACAAAGCAAAACATCATCATTATAATAATTTTTTAGGTCTTGACTCCACATTCAGTGAAGACTGAGTATTTCCATTTGCCTGAATGAGTTCTGTTATGATCTACCACGTTCAGTACAAAGACACCTTGGCAAATCAGAGATGGGCAATCACCAGCCATGTGAAGTTTAACAAGGGAGAGTTCTGGATTCTGCACCTGAGAGTAGGCAATCCTTGTTATGAGTATGCACTGGGGGAGAGATGCTGGAATGCAACACTGCAGAAAGGGACCTGGGGGTCCTGGTCGATGGCAAGTTGAACATGAGCCAGCAGTGCCCTGGCAGCCAGGAGGGCCAACTCTGTCCTGGGGGGCATCAGGGACAGCATGGCCAGCTGGGCAAGGGAGGGGATTGTCCTGCTCTGCTCTGAGCTGGGGCAGCCTCACCTCGAGTGCTGGGAGCAGTTTTGGGTATCACAGTATAACAAAGGTATGAAATCATTAGAAAGCATCCAAAGAAGGGCCATGTGGATGATGAAGGGCCTTGAGGGGAAGCCTTATAAGGAGTGGCTGAGGTCACTTGTACTGATCCCATCATATGTTTATATAGAATGTGTTTTATCTCCAATTAATTGTCTTCATCATCTTCTGTATCAAATATATTTGCCAAGAACAACTTCCATACCTACAGAAGCAGCAGCAAAAGCAGAACTGCACGAGAAAAAATCACAAGCCATTGATCACCACTTTTGCTTAATCTCTTTTCCTTTACAGTTCCTTTACTTTCCTGTCTATCCTTGCTGAAACTAATTATTTACCTTACCAAACACAAAAATTCTTTCAGTTGAGTGTAGGTATATTGGTTCTGAATTGCAATCAAATCAAGAGCTGTCCAATTCTGGAGTTTTGTCCTCACTAGCTGCTATCCTGTTTCAACTACGTGTTCTTTATATCTTGACTTTCTTGAGGAAACAGGAGCATGGCTGAGCCCTTCGGTTCAACTGGATCTTGCAGTTTTCAGCCTGTCCATTGAAAGCAATCAGGTTCCACTCAAATTATGATTTTGTAGACATGATTATTGGGGGAAAAAGGTTCAGGAATTGAATCATGGCCTTGACAGGAGGCAATTGCTTTGTTAATAGTCTTCATTTTTGACAAAATACAATAGCTATCTCTCTCATTCTCATTGAAAAAGAAAAACTAAGTAAAGTTTAAGTTTTTAACCAAATTAAACCAATCAGAAATTTAACTTGATTAGTACTCAAGAGCCTAGATTATGACCTAAGTGAGTCTTCACTGACTTCATACAATTTAAGTGAAACTCCATAACTTTCTAACTTGGACTTTTGGCTAGGAGAGGGTTCTGATTGATTTTATTTATTTTTTAATAAAAATGCATAAGTACACAAAACAACCATCATATAACTTAATATTCAGCAAAAACTCTTTACGTCTAAGACCAGAGCTGGAGAAATATTGTACAAATTTTGATTAAAAACCTGATCAGGGACACATTTGGCTATTTGACTGCATTTAACTCTTCAGTGTAGAAGAATGTAATTTAAAAAAAATAAAGAATAAATCCTTACAAGGAAAGTTTAAGCTTTCATCTTAAGAAAATAAAAAAGAGGTATTGTTTGGTTATGGTATGACAATCTCTGAAACCAACTGTGTAACCAAGGTGAATTCACTGATTTTTACATATGCCAAAAGGGAGTTTGGTGATCAACCCTTTAATGTCTTTTCTATATCCAAGTGAATGAAGAATTTTCTTCAAGACCAACACTTACCCACCATCCAGTCCATCTCCTCCACATTATCTCCATACAGGCCATGACTGCTTCTTCCCTGAAATTTCTCAGTGGTAATGAGAGGGGTGTGAACATGTAAAAGGGAAACAAAGAGAAGAAATGGTCTGTGCTTGTTTCTGAAATAAAAGAAAACAATAGTCATTTCTCTTCAAACTGTCACTCAACCCAAAATATAACAATGGTATTGCAGTTACTCTCTCAATTATTGTGATCTAAACAATTTTTATTTTGACATCTTTTTGGCTTTGAGGTTTTGGGAGACAGAGGGGATTGAAACATATCCCACAAAGATATTTTTTTCTATGTTAAGACCAAAAGAGTAAAGGATCCTTTCTTATTCCAGTTCCAAATTAGACGCGTGCAGAAAAGACTGACACATTCCTGAAAACAAGGAGGACAGCACTCACTTGCCTAAACCTAAACATGGATGTGCATCACTGAGCATCTGAAGTGTCCTTATGGAAGGGGCAGATATCACCCACAGTGAAAACATATCACTTCAACATCAAGCCAGGTAGGATATCCTAGGAACCTGAAATTACCTATGCCCAATGTTTTCAAGAAGGAATTTATATTACCTCAAATTTCCTTTAAAAAACAAGCACACCACCCCTAAACCCTGACAGAAATATGGGTATGCCCAGATTTAACACACTTTTAAAGACTTAGTGTTTTTTTTCAATTCTAATTGAGGTTACTGATAATAAATGAAGGACACCTTTGGGAAAAAAAAAATAACCCAAACCCACAAAACTAAAACTCACTGTCACTCTTCTGTTTGTTAAACATTAACTTCATATGACACTTTCTGTGACAGTCCATTCACCACCCTAAGATCATTTTTCTGTTCCTATAGGCAGAAGGCACAGTATTTGGCCAGGACCCCTTTGTGTCACTTGCTCCCCCCAGTCTGCTCCACCTCTGCTGATTACCTTTCAATGAATGTAATTGCCTCCTTCAGCATATTAGAGGTAGTTTTTTGTAGGTTCATCGGTTGTTCAGTGATATCATGGTTTCTCATCAGGATACAGTTCCAATACTTGGTAAAACCATAGCTGGAGAACCAGGAGATGAAATGAAGGAGACCACAGATGGCCAGACATATTATTATTTTCCATTTTACAGGGAATAAATTGGCAAGTTTTCCAATCACAAGAGTAAATACTGCAAGGATGATCATCTGAGTATGAAACCAATATGTTTCTTGCAAAGACTTGGCCAATTCAGGGTCATCTGTGCCTTGACACTCGTTCACAAGGGTAAAAGGCATGCCATAAAAATAATCAAAACCATGATTTAAAGGATGGTGGCAGTGGTCATGGCGGGTTTTGCAGTTCACACCCATATGCCATTTCCCTGAAAATAAAAAACAAAGATCTTAAATCCAGTAGTAGGGTGTGTCTGCCTGCATTTCTCAGTTAAGGTGCAGCCAAGGGAGGAGTGGGTGTAGAATGGGGACAGACTTAGGGAACAGTAGTGCACCCTCCCTTCAGATACTGACAGGTATTGAGGTGTCTCCTCTCAGCCGTCTCTTCTCAAGGCTGAACAGACCAATCTCCCTCAGCCTGTCCTCATAAGAGAGATGCTTCAGTCCCCTAATTATCTTCATTAATGATGAATAAGTTAAACAATAGTGGGCTCAGTGCTGACCCTTGGGGACCCCACTGGTGACAACTAAACCCTGTGCCACTGATTATGACCCCCTGGGATCAGCTCTTCAGGCAGTTCTCAATCCACTTCCCTGTTCACTCATCCAGTCCACACTTCTAGAGTTTGCCTGTGAGGATGTTGTGAGAGACAGTGTTAAAAACCTTGCTGAAGTCAATATGATGATTAAGACCACTGTGCTGAAATTGATATAATTAAGACCACTGTGGTGTCTCAGTGCCAACTGTCAGATGACATTTTTCTGCTCTAACATGAGTGAATGTCTCTGTTGGTTCATCCTAAAGCAATCTGTGCTGAGCAAACAAGATTATTTCCTTTGAATTTACTTCCATTTGCAGTGTGTATTTATATATTACATGCACCTCATTCTGGATTTACCAGATACGCTGTACTCACATTGGACTTGTGGACAATGTTCAAAACACCCTGCTGATTTTGAAAGTTATGCATACAGAAAAGCTGTTTAACTGATCCTGGACATTTTGACAAAAAAATGTATTTAGAGAAGTAACCTAATTAGAATAACAAACAATAAAAAGGCAACAACTTTCTTTGTCTCATACCTACAAGTGCTGTAGAATAGCCTTGCTGGTAGAGTATCCTGGCAAAAGTAGTTTCATTTGGTGGGAGCCCTCCTGAAACACCATTCCAGAAAAGAACCTGCCTCTGAGTGCTGGATGCCATGCCTAGAGAGGAATAATAGTCTTTAAAATAAAACAAGCCAGATTTCAGATTTCCAGTCTTCTCAGATTGTGCTTTCTAATGAATGGGACTCCATTGCCTAAGTCTAGTACCTTTTTATAAATCAGTTCCTATGCCCTAGGATATTCTGCTTGACCTCCAAAATTATGTCTTTTCCAAGTTCCATGTCATTATATGCTAGACCAGTGCAGATGCCTCAGCTATGCTGGGGTGTCTACAAGTGGCAGGAAGACACCTACATTTGGATATTAGGCAACTTCTTACAATCAAAGTTCTATCAAAATATGATGTTAACAAAAAAGAAAGCAAATGAGGTTAATCTAGAACAGAAGGCTTATAGGGTTAGGGGAACACATTTCTGAAATGTACAGTGCATAATTACATTTCTCCTTAAATGAATCAGAATTACATTAGAAGTTACACTGATTATTACTGCTAAATGGAATGGCTGAAGTCTTCTGTCTTCTGTCATAACTTTACATAGCTGAAGTAAATCTGTTTTAAGGCACAATTGCTGAGAACTATTCTACAGTCTGACATATTTTACTGTGAAAAGTTTTGCCAGGATATTAAAAATATTACATTTCATAGTAATAATCCTAGTCCTGCTGAACACACAACATCACACAATTTTATTTCTTTTCCTACCTCTGAGTGCTTTGAACTGTTTGGATTTTTGTCCATTTCTGTGTTATCATTTAGCCACACATAATGTGTTTTATATGGGGATTTTCCAATAGAAGTCAATCATTAGTCATCTCTAATTCTTGCCCATTTCACTGAGACTCCAAATCCCAAGATTAACTGTTCTTTAACATGTTTTATTTAAGGGGATTTTTAATTTCAACAGTGACTAGACTAACTGCAGCAAACCATTGGAGAGAGGCCCAACCTGATCTGATGGGGTATCTGCCAGTCAGGAATGCGGCTCTGCTTGGAGTGCAGACAGCTGCTGCAGCAATGTGCTGAGTAAGTCTCACTCCATCCTTTGCCAGGCCATCAATGTTAGGGGTCCTAAAGAGAACAATCCCATCTCTGATAAAACATATTGCACAGCATTTCATGGCATACAGCTCCCCCTAGTTTTGTTGAGCAATTCACCGTCAAATTTACAAATACCTGTTTACCTACTACTCAGCTAGAAAAGTTCTGTGTTTTATATGTATTTTTGAGACACCTTGACTCCTTAGAAATGAGGTTTTTGATGGGTATATATGTTTTTATTAATAACTAAAAAAAAAAGGGTGGAAAAAGGCAAGGTATCTCAGGTGTGTCCCACACCAGAATCCCAAGCAGCACTAGGAACAAGAATCTGTTCACAACACAATATCCAAGAAAACAATAGGCTAGAACAAAGATATCATTATTTTAATCAATCAATATACAGATTGATAATTGCACTAGGGATACATATGTTGTATAGACTGATCTGTCATTTCATACTAAGTCTACTAGAGTTGTTGACAAATATTAAATTTTAATCTCATTCCTTCATATTTCAACCCTGGAATTATGTAAATGTATGTATTATTGTCATGCATGATAAGCAGAGTGCACAAACACATTTGAAAAGTTCTCAGTCCTAGGAAGTTTCTCAAGCATGTCTGCATAATTATGACTCCTGTAGGAATTACTGTAGAACATGCATTTTGTACATAGCTTGAAAAGAAGTGTATCTAAATAAACTAATAAATTAATAATGAATTTTAATGCTAAATATCATCTGTAGATATTTTAAATAAAGTTTACCATGAAGGGATAATTTATTTCATACCTTACTGTATCATTGCCATAGCAACCCACATCTCCAATACCAAGATCATCAGCTAGTATCAGTAAAAAGTTAGGTTTTGAAGGCTTTGATACACAGGTTCTTGGAAACAGGCATAAAATTAGCCAAATATTTAGGTAGCTCCTAAAAGCAAAAGCAAAGAGGTAACATTACAAAAAAAAAAATTGTAAGTTTTAAAATTAAATTGTAAAAATTAATTTAAACTACTATTCTTAAAGTTTTATGGGGACTCAGTATAGGTGCAAACAGCAACCAAAGAGTGCCAGCAGATGGAGCTCCTGAATACATACAGAAGTCTTTGAGTTTTATAATATTAGTATTATTTTCTGGGGATGTTGTTGTTATTACTATTACTATTACTATTACTATTACTATTACTATTACTATTACTATTACTATTACTATTACTATTACTATTACTATTACTACTACTACTACTACTACTACTACTACTATTGCTATTGCTATTGCTATTACTATTTATTACTATTCTTTCACACAGGAATTTTGTCTGCATTTCTTTACTGACATTTGTGCTGCTCTCTGCGGATATTCCCACTAGAATGAGTAGTTGGATACTACAAGTGTCCCGAGGCACCCTCTGTATGGAGCTGTAGGATGCTCCTGTTAAGGCTCTTGGAATGAGTGGGACAGGAACACAAAGGTGATTGGTGTGAAGTCATGCTGGTCTTTGTGGCAATGTCTTGACTGTGGCATTTACTGCACCCTCTGCTATACACAGTGTCGGGAAAGTGCTCTTCAAGCCATGGGACCATCTGCAAAATCAAGGTGCAGCAACAGGCTTAAACTTGATGATCTTCCTAGGAGACCCCAAGAATATCTCTGCATGTTTTGGTTGCTCAAAGTGTTTGCAATTGGAAGCTTACTGAAGTAAAATACATATGCAAGAACACATCTTCTGACTGCTGGTTCATTAATAGATATGACATTAATTCATTAGTAGCTACTACCACATGATAAATGTATAATAACTATACCATACACTATATATACTCCTAAACCTCCATGTCTTATGAAAGTAAGCTAATAGGTTTTGAAATACCAACAGAGCCAAACCTATATTACCTACTCAATCCTCATTGAGTTGGGGTGGTGGTAGCAGGGAAAATGTAAGATTATCTTCTTAATATATCTCTGTTAATAATAATTTATCTGTTTTCTTAAGCACAAGACCTAAAATCCAGGAAAGAGCCTCAGTGAATATCTTTCTTACCATTGTTTTCCCTGGTAAACTTCATAGTTTTCCATTTTATGAAACAGGTACATAATTGGTCATATAAATGCTGATGGAAAAGGAAAAGAAAAAAATCAAACCCCAGAAGTTCTGGTGATTTTCCATGCAGTTTTGCAAAGTCTTGCCTGTTTTCCAGCTGCTGCTATCTCCAGGGAGACTTGTGAGAATTTGGAAAGAAGACAAAATGTTAGTGGCTTTAAAAAAGTGCTAGAGGTGCCCATTACTCAATACATGCACAGAACTGTTGGTGTCCACTGAGATGAATGTTTTCACCATTTTACAAATGGCATAAAACTGAGAGCTCACTTTTTATTTAACCTCAGATCAACTTTAAGGAAAAGAATCTAACCTTTACTGTGACCTTATAAACTATAAAAAATACATCAAATAAAAGCCATTCTGGAAACTATTATTGTCACTGTTATTCTGAGGAAAGAGGCTGTATTATTCTTTGGTTTAGATGCCATCTAGTACATTCAAGAAGATGTTTCTATCTGAATTGTTACTAAAAATTTATAGAAACTAGAAGTTACTAGAAACATAAATACCTTTGTGATTATTTCCTTAAAGGACTCCAAAGCTTAATGCCATTTAAAAACTTAGCAAGCCAATTTTTCTACTTTCCAACTCTATGAAGTTAACTTGGACTTTAAAAATCTAGAAATAATCTTTTCATTTCTTAAATATTTATTTTTTGTCTGGCAAGGCAAATTTAATGAGTGGAAGTGATTTTCCCTGCTTGCTGAAATAGAGAGCACACCTAGTCCCTTTGGAAAAAGAATGGCTTGGGAAATGCACTCCTTTTCCTTGTGAATGGCATAAGAGATCTGCAGAAAATGTTGCACTATGACTGTGCAAGCAGTACTGCAGAAGTACATGGTAAGCTGGCTCCAGTAGGGACTGTCACATGCTCAGTTTTGTGGAGTATACTGAGCTAAATTAGATTCCATTTATTCCATTACTGAGAAGAGAGTAAAAAAATTAGAAATATCCCATCCATGCAACATCCCTGCTTTTCCACACTTCTTTCTATTTTAAAACATCACAAGAACAAAGACATTGTTGGCTGTACCAAGGATTAGATTGAAAGTAATAAGAATATTTACCTGCTTTAACAACTCAAGACATTTGTAAACACAGAGTCACTGCTAAACACAGAGAACTGAAAAGCTCTGTCTTGACTAATGAAAGACTTGTTGCTTTTTTTCTCCAAAAATGAAAATACAGCATTTTCTGAGAGCTTTTTTTCTGGCTTTTTAGTACACAACAGTTTACCTTGAATTTCTGAGGAATACTAAACTAGCCAGAGCTGAGTATAATCCTGCGTTATGCATTTCAGAGGATGGGCCATAAGACGAAAAAAGTGCAGGTATTGTTATTCTGACCAGGAAAACAGAATTAAGAAAGTAGGAACCTGAGGCCCATTGATGATTTTTTCAGGCAACATCTAGATGTTTGTTTGGCTATGGTGGAGACTATAAGGGAAATAAAAAAACTAAAAAATAAAACCCAAAACCCACCAGCACCAGAACAAATAAACAAATCCCTCAGCAAAACAGAAATAAACCCCTCAAGCAAACAACAAAACCCCCTAGAACAACAAAGGCACTACAGAAAGCTCATCCTCTCTGCATAGTGAGTCACAGACTAATGGGAAGGCACAAGGTCTCTCTGACTCAATGCAGTGGCTGTTTGAAGCAAGAACTTGCTGGGAATGCAGATGCCAGGAGCCCACTATCAAAAAGGCAGGCTGTATTAATATGAAGGAAAGGACTTGCTACCAGGATGTCAAACCTTTTTGAGATGGCAGTGTAGAGGTGTTTCACTGCCACAGCCTGGATGCAGTTCCCCCGAGGCCCCAGTGAACTCTGGTCCTGTAGGACAGAGCTGGGGCAATGATGAGGCAAGTGCCTGAAACCATTTTTTTGTAACAAGGACAGACTGATGGCTGTGGTCATCACCTATAATAGCAATATCTTCACAGTGCTTTAACAACAGGCAGACCTCTGCCTTCCCAGCCACTGTTAGGCAGCATTACATTTAAAGAGCTTGTGGTACATGGTTAAGCCAAAATTATTACAGTGATAATCTTCAGTCTACACCAAGTAGCTGAGGATCAGCCCTTGTGAGCTGTAGTGGAGCAAAAGAACCAGACAGATCTGAACATCTAGGAAATCCCTTGACTTCCCAAGGTGTTGATCAGCTTTCTAAGCTCATACTTGGACGGCTCTGCTGTCTTCCACTTTCTCCCCACAGGTTTTTGCATCACAGAGCCAGCTGGTCATAGCAGGCACATGAGTATTTAGACTGAAAACTTATGTAGAGTCCCACAGAAGAACTGTGAACTTGAACAGAGGCATACTGATAGTATAAAAAGATCTAAAAACCATTGGATGTGGCACTAGCTGATTTATTGCAAGCCACTTTAGGAGCACTTCTTTTACTAAAAGACTACTAGAATGACCACACTAACTAAAAAAACCCACCACGATTTAAATATACGTATTCACATTTCTCTGCTAAGGTTTGATTCATTCTGAAAGCAGACATCTCACTGACAGATGCATTGAAACCATGACTGGGCCCTAGGGCTTGTCCAGTTTCCTTATCTGTTAAATGAGAAAACACAACATAATTTATAAATCTAACAGCAGTCACTAAAAAATCAGCAATCTCTTACAGAAATCCAAGAATACATTTAATAATAATTCCCACTGTAACCTAGTAAGCCAAAACAAAATGATCATCAGGACTAATAAAAAAGGCCAACCCCTTTTAACAATGTGGAAAACAAACCCTCTTCTCAGTTATTCTTGTTGCGAAATCCCTCTTGCTCCTGAATGTACTCAGCAGTCCTGATTTGCTATAAGGTGCGTAGGTGAAAGCAGGCAGGAGCTCACTCCAGTTCCTCTTGTTCTCCCTTCCCCCTCTCTCCAGCATGGACACACTGGGATCCCTGCCAGCAACAGCCACTAAACTGGAACAGCCATCAAATGGGAACAGCTATGCAGATTTTACATGAATTCCAGGCAAAGTACAAAGTCCTTATTGTTTAAATACTAGCATGACATGGCTACTGTCTCTTCTAGATTCCCTATCCAGTTAATTCTGAGAAAATTCGTATAAAGTCTGTCACTGCTCAGTTTCAGTGCTTCAGAAAAGATGCTATAAATAATAACAGGATATGCTACAAATGGTTTTGTTTCTCCCACACAGCTTTTCCAGCCTTCAAGATGAGATAAAAGGACTAGCTTGTCCTCTTTTTCTTCTGTCAAGTTGTTTTTCTGTTTTTGTTGAATTTTCTAGAAAGGGAGGCATACCTGTGCTGAAGATGTGTTTATTTATAGTGTTTACTATACATCCCCTTCTTTCAGATCTTAACTCTGGTGTAATACATTTTACAATTCAGAAGGTCTTGAGCAATTACTTGGAGGAGCCTTATTTATTTGCTGACATTTTGGTTCTCTGTGCTACTTAAATACAGCAATTGCTGAATTTAAGACTGTGTTCTAGAGAAGTCAGTAGGAGTCAGTGAGATGGAAAGATGAAGCAGCTAAAACTATCAGATTTATATAATCCAGTGGCAGGGATAACCAGGGTTGGAGACAGTTTTTTTATTTTTTTTACCTCCTTGCACTTGTGACTATATTCAGTTATTTTTATGTTGTGACACTGGGCTACTTTCACTTGTATTTATTTGACTGTAATACTTGTTTTGTGTGACTGCTTAACAGCTTGTGATGGTTCTGGTGGAAAGACTTGAAAAAAAACTATATTTCTCAAGAATTACATCGTGCTTAGGGAATGGCAGATCTTTAAAAACTGCTAATAACATAAGTATTATGTTATTATAAGTATTATAAGTATTTCACTGGCTTTCATCCAAATTATCACTAAACATTTCTTTTACTATCTACATCTTTCCCTCTAAGTGTTCACCACTGAAGATGGGCCCATGCTGCTTCTGGCACAACTTAGAAATGCAAGCTGAAACAAACTACACTGTCCCTACCATCCTCACCAGCCCTCCACCCCCCTACCCTCCCCAAAAAAATAAATCTCACACCTTCACATTTTTCCTTGCTAGCAAAACTCTATCTGGAAGCACAGACCTTGTATTCTGTTTCTCACCACTACATTAGTGACCTTACACTGAAATAACAGCCATGATTACTTATTGTCTTCCACTGAATTAAATTTTAAACAAACACCTTTTTTAACAACAAAAAAAAGGCAAATAAGTAACACCAAAGCAGGAGGGAGATGATTTTTATCTGTGCAGCAATATTTCCTCCTCTTCAGCTAACCAGTTTTTCACTGCCCCTGAGCACAGAAAGCTGCTGTTTACTTCATGCTGTAAATAGGAAAATTCTCTTCCAGCAAAAAACTTTTTTTTTTGAGTAACTGTGTGTTTTATACTGTTGTTTTCTTTCTGGCTTTTCACACATGTCTGAGTACTAAAAGCAAACACTGGCATTTATTTAGCTCCTTCTCCCTTTGACAAGCTTTCTGAGTGAACATAGAGCCGTGAACATAAATACTGAAATGACACATACAAAATTTCATAAAATTGCTTCTATCTCAGATCTTGGGAAAAGAAAAATCCTTAAGAGATAAGAAGACAAGTGTTAATCTACTAAATTGGCTAAACAAGTAAACTGTTTGCAGGGATATTCAAAGGGGGGAAAGAAGCAAAACAACAAACTACAAAAACCTTTTTTCCATTTACTAAATCCAACAAGCAGTCTTCCTAGAGTTCTAGCAGGATGCTTATTATGAATTTGGACTTCATCTACTACTAAAAAATACAGCCATTAATATAGTTCAAAACCCTAAAATCTATGTAATTTCATTGTAAAATGCAGTGCAAAGCCATATCTCCTTAGAAAGTCTGCCTAGGGTCACACCAATGAAGGTGTTTGTTCTGTTGGTTTGGGTATATGTGTTTTTCAGTACTGGCACGATCCCTTTATACAAGCTATAGCTTGCAAAAATATATATATATTGCTACCAAATATTTTTTTACTCCAATATGACTCTCAAATGTACTTTATTTTTCTACAACTGACATTAAAACACTGCAAATTATTAATTAAAAACATTTTTATTAGCATCTTATATGCAATAAAATTGTTTAGCCAAATCAGTATGCAGCAAGACCTCTTTCTGGTGGGCAGAATGCTTCTCTCACTTATATAACTGTTGCAGAGGTATACTGCACATTAATATTTTATACCTCATATTATCTGTGACATAGGTTATTTTTACCCAAATCTCAGATCACAAGTTCACAACTCGAGGAAAATCCCTCACTACATCAGATTTCCTCCACCTCAGGAGGAGCAGCATCTCAACAGAGATAACAGAGCAGTACAGGAAGCAGTAATGACTACAATTACTATGTTTAAATAGAGTACAACTGTGATTTGTGGGCTATAGAGACACAACTGCAAACATTTAGAGGTTTATTTTTATTTCTTACTGCTGCCTGCTCAGCACTGTGCACTTGGCTCTCTGCAGCATTTTTCAACTGTGTTCCTTGAGAAGGCATAAATTAGTCAGATATTGGGAACACACCTCTACAGTTTTCTCTTATACTCAAATCTGCAAAACCAGGGTTTCCTTAAACCTTTAGCTAGCGGCCAAGAACAAAGGGGAAAACTTCTGATTGATATTCCTTTTCTTCTTCTTTATTTTCATCCACTTTTTTTCCCAGGAGAAGAAAAAACTCAATTATTATCTGATATCTTTGTCAGCAGAGTGCTCAGTGGCACAGGATGTCTCATTAGACATGCATCTCAGAAAATCTGTGTGCTGTCATCTTCCTTATCACACCAACAGAGGGGGAATGTCCCACAGCATGGCTGCAGCCACGGCTTCCACACCACATTGGACACAGAGAGCTGCTCTGGCACTGGAGTCAGAGTCCTGCGGTGCTCCTCTATGGCTCTGCCAATCTTCCTTAGGACAGTCTCAAAGAGGGGCTCTGTGTCAGCTGAGAGAGGTTTGGCTTCTGAAGGGTCTTGTGAGAGCTCAAACAGCAATGGAGGCTCATGATGGGCCACTCCTTCCCCAAAGCATGGGCAAAATCCTCTGTCATAACAAGCCCCAGCTCCAGGAGGACTGAAGATGGGGGTCACATAGTGAGCCTTCCAAACAGCTCCAGCTGGCAGGAAAGAAAGAATCACAGAAGGCTGGTTATCATTTATCACAGGGAAGAATGAATGTTTTTCTAAAGTTCATTTCTGGATGCACTTGAGCTCTGCACTTATTAAAGTCGTACTGTAATTTCTCCTGGTGCTGTATAATACAGGCAATGCTACCAAGTTCTTCACCACGTTACACCTGAACTACTTGGAAAAACATAATCCCAGAAAAAAAACAACCTGTTGGAACCACGTGCCCTCCTGTAGACTGGATCCAACTCTTTGGAAAGCAGCTGTGTACTCACTGTCCTTCTGGTGCCAGCGCGCAGCGTGTAAGTGAGTGCCGCAGTAGTGGAACAGGAACTCGTGCTCTGAGTGCGCCACCGTGCCTCGCAGCAGGGGCAGCAGATCCCGGCCATCAATCACCCTAGCACAAGAAACAGAGCACAGGGCTGAGGGGAGCTGTGCCTCCTCTGCACACCTCCAGCTGCAACAGGCAGCTCTGGACAAGAAAGAGGATTGCAGGAGATGGCAGGTAAGGGGCTGAATCTCAAAGGTAGAGAAGAGGTGACAGAGCTCGTAGACATTGATGTGTCTAGAAAAGCAGCAGGACTGAAAAAAGAAAACATCAAATTATTAAAATGTGTTTCCAAGCTAGATTTTCCATTGTTTTGGGAAAGAAGGAAGAATAAAGATGTTTTTGTTTGTACCTGTCCTGAGGCACTGTCCCTCCAGCCAAATGAACTACTGTAGGATAAATATCCATAAGGCTTGTAGGTTCATCAATAACTCTGCCTGCAGGTAACACTCCTGGCCATCTAAATATCCCTGGGACACGGATTCCTCCTTCCCATCCTCCCATAGCTTTTCCACCTTTCATTAAATAAAAAAAAGAAAAATAAAAAGTTTGATTTAAAATAAAAATAATTTTTGCACAATTTTTTTGTGTTATCATGTTACCTTGATGAGCCTTCTTTACTCTTTTGTTTTTGCTGCTAAACTCCTACTGAGCATTAATGAAACTGTGTTCAGTAGGCCAGACCCCAACAATCTGAGAATTCATGTTTATAAAGGACACCTGGCCAGATTAGAATTTACTACATTGTTACATGCTTGATTAGAGCAAGACATTTTTGCTTCTTGGTAACAAACCAGTGTTACTTCTCGAGTGTACAGTCTTTCTTATGCCTTAGGGGTGTCCTAAGCTTTTCAAGTAGTTGTTTCTGGGTTGTCACTGTCCCTGGCAGCTCTTACCTTTGTATATTCCATTCCAGCCACCCAGCTGCCTTTTGCCTTCTTGTCGTTCCAGCCATCCACCATGATCAGAGGCAAAGTAAACCAGTGTAGTATGTCTCAAGCCTTCCTTGTCAATAGCGTCTAGAACCTGGCCTATAAGTGCAAGAATATGGATATATTAAAAAGCAGGAATATCCCTCATACTACATAAATTTTAACCTCTGACTTGTGAGCATTTACAAGTCAAGGCTGCCCACTGTTTAATAGTTTTTAAGACTGAGATTTGTAGTTATCATATGGAAAGAAATTATGATCTAAAGCCCCCAAAAGTTAGTGGCTACATCCCTGGTGGCCATCATGAAAAATATGGAAAAAACATAAGGTTACCTTTATATTGTCTAGACCACAGTTAGGATTTGCATTACATTACTGCATAGATATAATATGCATTAATAATAAGTTCCTTTAAAATGACAAGTAATTCTTGAGCTGTTTCTGATGTTCTTATTTATATTTGCAGAGTGTAAATATTTGACTGTTAGATCTGAAACCAGTTTCTTCCTGTATGTGTACCTGACTTTTCTCTCTTTTGCAAATGTGGGTACTTTTTGTCCATCATGACTGAATGATAAATGATTCTCTTTCCCCTTCAGAAAGACAGGCTGAAAAATAACATGAATCTTATAGTGGGGGGAATACCAGGTAATCCTGATGAACATTTCTGGATTTATGATTAAATGTTACTATATGCTAACTTACCCACCATCCAGTCCATCTCCTCTACATTGTCTCCATATAAACCATGTCTGCTCCTCCCAAGAAACTTCTCTGTGGTGAGGAGAGGAGTGTGGGAATGCAAAAAGGAAAGAAAGAGGAGGAATGGTCTGTTCTTATTTCTACAAAACAGAAATCAGCACTGTGTTATTGGGAGGAAGGTTCTCAATGCAGATCAGCTGTAGTGAAAAATGATACTATTTTTGTATAGATGTTTCAACAATCCCTTCAGAAACACCTTATTTTGTAAGATGTTATGACCCAGTGATTAGGATGTCATAGAATAATTTTGGGCCTGTATAAAATGATTCTTTTTCTACCCTGAATCATAGATATAAAACTTCCAGATTGAGGATCCCCTTTCTGGAATTGCAAAGTACCATTGTGCTACTGAAGTGAAGGCAGCAGGTTCATCTCCTGCCAGCTGTTTCCCACTTATCAGTCCATATGATAAGACTACATCATAGCT